TTTCCCTTTCAGCTTCCTCCATCCTTAAAAGGGAGAAGCGGCTGAGGACGAAGAATGTACATTTCAGCTGTGTCACCGTGTATTACTTCACCAGGAGGCAGGGCTTCACGAGCGTGCCCAGCCAAGGTGGCAGCACCCTGGGCATGTCTAGCCGTCACAACAGCGTGCGCCAGTACACCCTGGGTGAATTCGCCAGAGAGCAGGAGAGGCTGCACCGCGAGATGCTGAGAGAACACCTCAGGGAGGAAAAACTGAATTCTTTAAAGCTAAAGGTAAAAAAAACCTTAGACGCTCACTTTTTTTTTTGCCAAACCCCCATCCTTACCTCACTTTGGTTGCATTAACCATTTTCATATTTAGATCCACAGATTAAGCTGGGCACTTTCCACAACAGACTGTCTGCTGAGGCTTTTTTAAAGCAAAAACAGTATGGTCGCGTCACTGAAAGCAGTGCGGAAAACTTACCTGACGTTGTTTACTTATTCATCCTATGAATATTTCTTTAGATCCTAGACCCTGTGCTTGGGCTGGGGCTATGTAGTATGAAACATAGATGTGGTTCCTTTTCTCCTGGAACTTACGTATCAATAGGAAAGATAAATATTAATCATGTAGACAAAATAAAATCACATTTTCGTGAAGTGCTATGAAGGGGGGGTTGCAAGGTGCTATGAAAGTAAGTAACAGGGAACTGATGTGGTCCGGAGGTCAAGGAAGGTTTCCTCAAGGAAGTGATGGTTGAACTGAAATCTGTGCAGATAGTTAGACAGGAAGGGTTGGTGAGAGTGGTTCAGGCGGCAGGGAGAGCTGGAGCTGCCTCGTGGCAGGAGGAATCACGGTTAGCACGGTTAGCACACAGAGCTAGCATGGCTGGAGCAGAGATGAAGAGAGTAGAATAACGTGGCGGGCGTGGTGGTAGTGGTTGGGCTTTGTAAGTCTGGTTGAGGCATTTTTTTCCTCTTCATCCTGATGCCATCAGAAGTCGTACAGGAGCCTTAAGCATGGGGTTGGGGGTGGCAGGGTAATGTGATTCGGTTCATGTTATGATGTGAGGATAGTTTTGGGGCAGGGGCAGCCATGTTGGGGGAGCTTATGGAGTCAGACCAGGTAAGAGGCTATTACAGTGGTCCAGGAGAGAGATGATGGTAGGTTAGATTAGACTGATGGCAGAGAGAGGAAGAGAGATGGACAGAGGGAGTAATTTAGGAAATAAAATTGACAGTCCTTGATGATGGGTTGGATTAGGAAGGGAA